CTCACAGGCAGGCTGCCGTCTTGCTGTTCTTTAGGGCCATGGCGATCAGACAGCTGGAGGCGAAGGTGGGCAGGCCCGGCATGAAGGCGTCTCGGGCCCACAGCCCAAGGTCCCCTCCGCCGGGAAGCCTGCCCTGCTTGACCCACCCGTACCAGCCCCGGCACTCATGGTGCTAAGGGTAGATACCTCTTCATGGCCCTATATCTTCCCCCTCCCCCTGCCCTTTTTTCCTTGACCCTGAGCTCAGCCATTGATAGCGATTAGAGAAACCCCATCTTTTCCTCTGTTTATCCCTTCCCCATAATAATGTCTGTGGGCCTTTAGACGCTAAGGAGGCTGTTTACTCCCCTCCTCCAAACCGTGTGAAGCACACAATACTATTGTTTTGATGACTTTAGACATCAGGGGGAACTGAGGTTCAGAGAGGCCGAGCCACTTCCCCAAGGCCACACAGCTTGTGAGTGACAGAGTGTTGTGCCCTGGACCCAATTCTGGAGTGGATTCTCAACCCTGGGGGTCGGCTGACCACACGGTGGCCCTTCCTGACAGCATATCACACCTGGGGGCTCCCAGTCCCCACATCCTCCCCCTTGGAAGTCTGGGCCACCACACCTAGCTGTCCGAGGTGCCCTACAGGCGTCCTTCACCCCTCGAGCCCCCCTCACCGCGGCCCACCCTGGACCTCACCTGTAGGAGTAGATGGGCTTGGGGTAGTGTTTGGGGTGCAGCTCTTGAGATGAATGCACAGCCATGCGGGGCTGGGGGTAGGGAAGTCGTGCCCCAAACGGGGAGCCATACAGGCCCACAGGAGGGCACTTCCCACAGGCAGGGACAGGGGACAGGCAGCAGAGAGAGAGACGGTGAGACAGGGCATAAGTCACTCACGGTAACCCCACCCCCTCCCCGGGCTAGAAAAGCGAGATGAGGTGTGGGGTGGACAGCCCCCCGGAGACAGTCTGGTCTGCACCCACAGCAGGGCTTTAGGGAGAACTGAAGGAAGGAGCCCGTGGCATGGACTCAGCGGGGAATGTTACCCCCATGTTCCGGGGGAGTAAACCGAGGCTCAGAGGGGTCCCTGGCCAGTCGAAGTCAGGGGTGTCTGCCTCCGAGTCCAGGGCCCCTCCGAGCCCCTGGTACCTGCTGGGCGCCTCGGGGGAGCGGGAACGGTGTCTGGGAAGCCGGAGAGTACATCTGCGGTGGGTCTCGCAGGCTGGAGGGGGGCTGCCCCCCCACAGGGAACTGGGTCATCTGCAGGGGCAGGGAGAGGAAGAGACAGAGGGTCAGAGTGACTGAACAGACCCCAAGCCTGCAGGATGCCCCCTCGCTCCCCAGCCCATGCAGCAGCACTTACGCTGGCTCTGTGGCTGGCCATGGGGCCCAGGCCCAGCACGCCCGGGGGGGCCATGCCTGCCGGGCCATGGAGCAGGGGCCCTGGGGTGGCTCCTACATGGAGGTCAGCCACCCCAGCCAGGGAACCTGCAAGAGGGAAACAGAGAGACGCCGCGCAGCTGGAGGCACTGTGGCCTTGGCAGGGACAGCCCAGCCCCTGGGCACCTCCCTCAAGACCACGTGGTAGGGTGGAACCCAGGCCACGCGGCCTGAAGCCCGGACTCTTCACCATACCACCCCTGTGGGGCCAGGCGCGTAGTAGGTGCTGGCAAATCACTTCCCTGGGGGGTGGTGATGAAGAATGGGTTGGGGATAATCTTGGGCCAGCCTCAGTTTCCCCATCTGTACCACGTGGCTACCACCTATGAGGTGGACAACTTGTTCAATGAAAGAAATACTCCTGGTGGCTCGTTTTTCAGCCACTAATGCTTCCAGTGCACAGCGACGCTTGCTTTTGCTGATCGCCTTTGCTCAGCACTTTCTGTGTCTCTAGGCATTTGATCCACTTGCGGTCACTGCCACCAGCTGCCATTGACTGAGCACCTACTATGTGCCGGGCCCTGCACTCAGCACCTTCCATGCGTTCTCTCTTCACCTCTAGGTCAGGGTCAGTAGACTGCTATGAGGGGTCAGAGAGCCAATATTTTAGACTTGGCCAGCCATGTGGTTTCTGCCTTTTTTTTTAATAACCCTTGAAAGATGTGAAAACCACTTGTACACAAAGGCTGTACGGAAACAGGCCCGCGGGCCCTCGTTTGCCGGCTGCTCTAGATGGCAGGGGCGGGGCTGTCTGTTCTCCGCGGAACCCTCAGCTCGCAGGGGGCCTGGCACATAGCGGTGAGCCAATGAGTGAATCACATCCCTCGGGGGAGGACAGAATGAGGCACATGTCACAGATGTGGAGACAGAGGCCCCGAGCGTGGCCCGGCCATGGCCACCCCGCCGGTGGGTGGCCTTCCTAGGTGTCGCCCTCCCCTGTCCCCCCTCACACCGTCCCACCTTGCCCCTGGGCCTACCTGGGTGTGGGTGTGGTGCACTGCGGCCACCCAGGTCCACGCGGCCACTTGCCATCTGCTGCAGCCGGGGCACGTCCACGGCCGTGAGCCACGACAGTGACTGCAGGTCCCCGGGAAGGTCCTCGTCGCCCGTGGTGGCCAGGAGCCTGCAGGGAGGGCAGGCGCTCGGGAGGGGCGGGAGCTCAGGCCAGCTCCAGGGGCTCCCCCACCTCTGGAGTCTCCCCCTTAGCCCCTGACCCCCCCGAGCCTCCCCAACCCTTCCATCTCTCCACCCTGGTCCCAGGACCCTCCCTTTGGCAGCCAGACTACACAGCCTCAGATCATTCCCGCGTTCACTCTTCTAACACGTTCCTTAGCCCCGGCCCCAAGATGATGAGCACTAATGTTTGTTGAGCACTTACTATATGCCAAGCACCACATCAAGTCCTTTCGAGGAATTAGGCCATTGAAACATTCCCGGTTAATCCATAAGGCAGGGAGTATTATTGTACCCATTTTACAGATGGGGAAACTGAGGTAATGGCGTCCGCGCTCAAAAAGCATAGTCCCACTTGAACCAGGAGGTCACAATTTGATTCCCAGACAGGGCACATGCCCAGGTCGTGGGCTCTGTCCCCAGTGTGGGGCATGCAAGAGGCCACGGATCAATGATTCTCATCATTGATGTTTCTCTCTCTCTCTCTCCGTCTCCCTTCCTCTCTGGAAACAAACAAAAAAAGCATAGGCCCATTCAATCCCCAGAGCAACCCTGACAGGTAGGATATGCTCATATCCCCCTTTTACAGATGGGGAAACTGAGGCTCAGAGCACCGAGTCCACTGGAGGCTCCACTTAGGACCCATGCCCCCCGGCCCAGAACAGATTCATGAGCCCAAACAGCACCTTCCATGGAAGGAGAAAGGCTGCCCAGTGAGGATGCCAGGCAGGTGCCCGATCTGCAAGAGCACTGGGCCCACAGCAGCACCTCGTCCAGGCGACAGTGTGGCTGCACACGGGCCAGGAGCCCAGCCCATGCCCACCACACCTGCCCCCCTGAGCCAGGGGCTGTCTGGTTTGATGCTGGGAGGCCCCAGGTCCAAATTCCAAGCTCCAAGTGCCACACATAGAGCTGGAGAGGGAGAGAGAAAGCGGGAAGAAATGCCACCTCTGCTTCTCTTGGGCACGTGACCGGGACCCACAGACGGGCATCGGCCTCCGCCCTCTGCCATCTGCGGGGCCCCCCGGTCTGGTATTCTCGCCCTCCTCTCTCTTCCTGTCTCTCGCTTCCCCCTTCTTCCCATGTCTCCTGCTCTCTCCTTCCCTGTGTTTTAGGGCCACAATTAGCGTTGCCATGGCCACTGCTGCTCAGTTGTCACAGGGCCTGGGCCCACCAAGCTGGCATCAGGTGACGCCCAGCTGCCCGGCGATTGGCTGCCTCGCAGGAAAACACGGCCTGGAAATGATTTGAAAACTCGGCCGGCCCGTGTCGGCGGCAGCAGTTGGCCCGGCTGCCGTCCGCCCCCCACGGCCCATTGTGTGACAAACGACTGTTGCCCCTGTGGCACGTGGCCCCCATTGTCCTGGGGCCTCAAGGCCATTGTTTCTGCAGCCCCCCCAGCTGCCGCCCCGTGGGCCACTTGTAACTCGTCCGGCCGAGTGACAGCCACGGCCCGGGCCTGGGTGATGCCATCTGTCCCCTCGGCCCGTGGAGACCCCGGAGTGAGGCTGAGGGAGAGAGCCGGGTGTGCCACCCGCTGTCAGGAATGCCTGGCTGGCTCCCGCCCACCCCTGCTCACCCCAAGGCCGGCCCACCCACTGCCCAGCTTCTGGTGGTGGGAGCCCCACTCCCGCTCAGCAACCTGCTGTAGCTCCCACCGCCTTCACCGCTCTGCCTGGCGCTGGGGCCAGAGGGAGGAGTGGAAGGGAGTCCCTGCTGGCAGGTTTCTCAAGGTGGGGGCCCCATCGGAGACCCAGATGATGGTGGGTGGCTTGTAAACAAACCAGGTTCCTGGGTCAAACCTCTGGTGGTGGGTGCATCTCGCAGGCAGTATCTATGGTGGTTAAGGGCTTGGGCTCTGGGTTCTAATCCTGGTCTCCACTTACCTGTGGGCCACTGACTCAACCTCTCTGAGCCTCAGTTTTTCATCTGTGAAATGGGGATAAAAAGTTCCTATCTCATAGGGTGTTATGAGGATTAACTATTACTGCGTGTAAAGCACCTGGAACAGTGTCTGACTTAGCTGTCATTCATATTAATATCATTAATGTTCACGATCAACTTAGGGCCTCAAGGGAGTGGAGGACTTCGAGGTTTGGGCTCTGGGGTCACATACACCTCCTGCCCCTGGGGTTGCTCCCACTAGGGCTTTCGTTTGTTGAGCACTTCTGTATGCCAGAGCCTGGGCTACATTCTCCCTCCATTTCACAGATAGGAAAACTGAGGCCTGAGCAGTCCCATCAATGCTCTGAGCACCTTTAGTGTCCCCCCACCTGAGCCCCAGGGAGAACCCTGTTAACCACACACCTCCACCTTCTCCTGAGCCCCGCTAATGTCCCCAGGAGGGCAGGGGCTGCACCCCCAGACCTTGGGGCCACCCCAGGTCTGGCAGGGAGGAGGCCAGGACAGGGGCAGAGCCCCCTGCTGGGTGCAGGTGGCCCCAGGAGATCCTGATGCTGAAGCAGGAACCATGCACCCCCTGAGGGAGGAGCTGGACCCCTAGAGTCCAACCCAGGGCTGGGCACACAGTGCTCAGTAAGTCCTCAGGGCTGGACAAATGAGCACACAGACCGAGGTTTCCCAGATGCGCCTCCCCCATCCTCCCCCGTGGACACGGCTTGGGGTGGCGAGCCCCTGGCGCGTGGCCAGCCCTGAGCTAAAGTGGGTTACGTGTTTGGTCTCATGTCAAACTCACAAGAGTCTGATCAGACAGGTATTGTTATCATTACTGCTTTCCCATTTGCCAGATGGGGACACTGAGGCCAGGGAGGAAAGGGGCTTGTCTAGGATACCCCAGCCAGAGACTGGGTTCATTATAGCCCACTGTCCTTTCCCCTGCCCTGCAGGAGTGGTTGAAGGACGTGCTCTGTGCATTCCAGAAAATCCTCGCACTGACAGCCAATAGGGAACCACTAGCTGCCTGTGGCTATTTCCATTTAAATCCATTAACATTAAAATCACAGACTCAGCGTCTCTATCACACCAGCCACATCCGAGGTGCTCGGTGGCTGCCACAGTGGATGGTGCAGAAATTCCTACCAAGAGGCGATGGTCTAGAACAGTGGTCGGCAAACTCATTAGTCAACAGAGCCAAATATCAACAGTACAACGACTGAAACTTCTTTTGAGAGCCAAATTTTTTAAACTTAAACTATATAGGTAGGTACATTGTTATTAACTTAATTAGGGTACTCCTAAGGCTTAGGAAGAGCCACACTCAAGGGGCCAAAGAGCCGCATGTGGCTCGCGAGCCGCAGTTTGCCAACCACGGGTCTAGAACATTCCTTTTGGCCTTCATGGAAAAATCTGTGGTGTTTCTACATCGCCTGATCACAAGTACAAATCTGAGTTAGGTTTGGAAATTTCAGGAGCTGACTTCATGGGATTCTGAGTTTTAGTATGTTTTCTTATGAAAGATTCCCCCAGCAAAAAGGAAGAAAAAGGCAGATATCTGCAACACTGTCAACAATAAAATAAAATAAAAATAAAAAACGAGTCCCCCAGCTCACCCCCTCAGTGAGGAAGCGACAGGTCAGGGCTCTGTAAACCTGGGAGCTGGGTACGGAGGCCACACACCAAGTAGTGAGCTCCCTGTCCCAGGGGCATGCAAGCAGGAGCCGAGGGCCCCTGTTGGGTGAAAGATGAGCCCACGCAGCCTCCAAAGACGCTGTAATTCATGGCAGTCGCGTGCAGGTAACCCCCTCATTGCATTCCCAACGTGTTACCATCCTGGCACGCTTCCGTCCCTCCGAGCCTCAGTTTCCCCATCTGAAAAGCAGGAGTGACAGAGGAGAGGTTCCCTCCACGCAGCACTGGCGCTGGGGCTCCAGGAAGGCAGAGTAGCACAGTGGTTAGAAGCAGGCATGGCCCCAAGGCGGGTGGGCCCCGCCTGCACGCTTCCCGGCTGTGTGAGCCAAGGCAGGTACCTCACCTTCCCTGGGCCTCGGTCTCCCCGTGTATAAAATGGGAATAAAACGGCACCTACACTACACGGGCTGCGGACAATACGGTAACAGTTCGCTAAGCGTTGGCTGCAAACGCAGCGGACATGGCTAGTTCAGGGTTTCAGGCGTGACCCCTGACAATGCGCCTTCCTCAAACCAGGGGGGGCCTGTCACAGACAGGGCTCCCCATCAGTGCGCGGCCAGCTTTGGGGGCAAAAAAAAAATACAAATACCTGCCCGGCACTTCAGCGTCCCCTCCCGATTCCGGAGGCTGCCCACAGCTCCCCACTGCACGCTGGGGGCACTTGTTTCTTTCCAAAGCTCAGCCACATCCATCTTTTCCTTATGAAAACACACACACACACACCCCTAGGGGGCATCATAGGGGGCATCATCTCCCCTTTCACAGATACGAGCAGGTCAATGTGCTTCAGCTGCCTCCTGGCAGCAGCCCCAGGTTCCTCCCCAGCACCTCCCACCTGCCCTCCCCAGGCCTCCGTTTCCCCATCCGGAACACAAGGGGTTGAGTCCCTTCCATCTCTGCGGGGCTGCCACGGAGACCCCCAGCCTGCAGGGCACCTGGGAAATGGGGGGATGCTGAGGGGTGGGAAACGGGGGGGCAGAGCCTGGTCAGGAGCGAGGTGGCACCCTGGGAAAACCAACACCAGAATAACATGTCATCAGGGTCGTGACGCAGCCAGCCCTGCGAGCCCTGGTTGGTTTGCTCAGAGGGCTCTGGCTCCTCAGAAGGCCCTTGCTCAGAGGGCTCTGGCTCCTCAGAAGGCCCAGGCCCAGGCCCTGCGTGAGCCCATCTCAGCCGTTGTGTCGTGGTTATGAGTGTGGGCTCTGGGGTCGGCCAGGCCCGAGTTTGAATCCCACCCAGACACTTAGTAGCTGTGAGCCTTGTCTGCCGTCATCTGCCTCTTTGAGCCTCGGTTTGTTCATCTGTTAAATGGGGGCGCTAACACCTATACCCATCTCACAGGGGATTTGTTTTGAGGATTGG